TTTTTTTTTTTTTTTTTTTTTTTTTGCTTTTTTGAGACAAGGTCTCACTATGTAGTTGAGAATGACCTGTAACTCACTATGAAGCCCAGGCTGGTCTCAAACTCACAGTGATCCTCCTGCCTCAACCTCTTGAGTGCTGGAATTACAGGCGTGTGCCACCATGCCTCGCTTATATAAGCACATTTTAAAAATGAGGACAAATGTGAACAAAATGGCATGACTCACATTTTATAAGGAATAAAACTTTAGAATTTATCTTATCTAGAAGTTAAAAAATTATTTACATATATATTGGCACATTGAAAGGAAATAATGAATGCCATCAATGCCTAAAAAGGAAGATCATTTGTAAAAGAGATCTTAAGGAATTTTTAGGAAATAAGATGCTTATCATTAAAAGGGTTAAATTTTAGTTTTTAATATTAAAATATGTTAAAAATTAAATTAAAATATGTTAAAAACATCTCAAAAACACGGCATCCCAAGCAAGCTTTCCATTAGCTTCTCCTGTATTATGCTTGCTTAGATGTATTCTTAGTTAAAACTGTGAGACACTATATACACGCTTTTCCTTTAATTTAAAAAAATCTAAATATCAACTTAATATAATACAATAAAAATTATGACTGCCAAGCAGTCAAGACAAGTCTACTGTTCCCTTCTCAGGGGTTAAGTTAAACGGAAATTAGGTTTTAAATGAAATGTTCTCTAATGACTTTGAAAGAACAAGAGCCAGTCACATGCTCACAATCCATCCCCACAGTTTAGACTGGTCTGGTATTCATTCTTGGTTCAGCATATTTGCCCTCTGAAATCAGTAGAAATTTTAAAGGAATTATTACTGGAAATAAAGTTTTTGCAAAATGTCCTTTTGATAAATTATGAATTAAACAGCTTATCACAAATCTAAATTATCAGAATTATCTGTAGATTAGCAGTGAAATGTATTTTAACTGAAGTTTGGTCAGTAGAGCCAACTGTGTAGTTTCTGCCTAGTGCTATTTAAAACTTAGTCCAAAATCTTCTAATATCAAATTTCTCTCTTCCCAGTAAATAAAAGCAATAAACATTTTTTCCAAAAAGCAATTTTTTAAAAACACTCAAAAGAGTACCAGTATTATTCAAAACACTTCCAATATTTTGATGTTCTCACTTGAGGACATGAACTTTTATTTAAGAAATCAGTTTTTTAGATTTTTTTTCTTTTACAGAAAGTAATACTTCTAGGTTTCTTCTCTCTCCCACTTACAACTCATGACTTAAGTTCTTTCTTCTCCAAGACAATTTTTGTTTTGCTATTTTGTGGTGGCCTAGAATTAACCAGACAGGAACAAAGAAAGGAGAAAAACTTACACTGCCAGCTTCATTTCCCCGATTTTCCTTTCTGTTCTCTCTCCACCCCCCACCGCCCTCACCCCGTTCTCTGTGCTGGCGCTTGAACCCAGGGCTTTAAGTTAGTGCACTCACTGAGCAATACCTGCTGGGTCTCCTTGCTTTTTGAAAAAGAAATAAGAACCATTAACATACCCTCCAGCTGCAGCTGCATGTAGACAGGTCCTGCCAAAATCATCAGGGGTATCTATATCAAATCCTGTAAGAATGAATGTCTTATGCATTATACAATATTATAGCTGTATTAATTTTTAAATTAAAGGATCATTTCAAAAATATTAAGAATCACATCCTTCCTATCAACCTCAAACAAAACTATAAAACACGAATAGCTACAATTAAAGAAAAATTTTTTAATGGTGTACAACATTACCAAAACTGACCATTAATGGATCGCTGGTTTTAGAACATGGGCTAATACGTTGTATTAAAAGGCCATACCCTAGTGCGCATGCACCTTTGGTTCCACAGAGTCAGCTACTTGGGAGGCTGGGGCAAGAGGACAATCTAAAACCAGGAGTTCAATAGGCATAACACTGATGCCCTTTGTATTTCCAACAATGTGGTTTAGAATCTACAAAAATTGTGTTACAGCCTGGTCTTTTACAAGCTGAGTTGACACAATGCTAAATAAAAATTATTATTATTATTATTTTTTTTTTTTTTGTACCAGGTTCATTGAACTTGGGCCCTTGTGCTTGAGAGGCAGGCGGTGGAACCACTGAGCCAAGTCCCCAGCCTCAAAACTTAGAATTTTTTATGGCAAAAAACCCCACAAAAACAACAAGCAAACAAACGAACAAAAAACCAGGAGTTCAAGGCCAGCCCGGTGAACACGGCAGAACTATGTGAATTTGAATTAATCTCAAACACACATCCTCAAATTTCTGAAAGGCCACTAGATACAATGGAATATTATTCAGTAATAAAAAGAAAACACTGGTAATACTACAAAGATGACCTCTAAGAACATTATGCTAAACAACCCAGCCACAGTGTTGGGTGATTTTATTACTAAGAACTCTTTAGAATAGACAAATTTATTAAGATAGAAAACAAATTAGTAGTTGCTTAGGAGTTAGGGAGAAAATGGGAGACCAACCACTAGTGGTGCTTCTTTTACAGAGATTAAAAATACTTTTAAATTGATTGTATTGATGGTTACACACCCCCAGAAACACAGTTAACAAATACTGAACTGTACACTTTAAATGGGTAAACTGTATCGTGTGTGACTGACAACTCAGTAAAGCTGTTTTTTCAAAGAAGCCATGAGTATGTTTGTTTTTTTTTTTTTAAAAAAACCTGTATATTACTTATTAGTACTAACACTGGCAAGAGATTTTAGTCTTCCTTTATTATGGAAAATAGGTATGTAAGTACTTGTGGACACACACACACACACACACTTTTTAAAAATAGAAAAGAAAAAACAACTCAAAACTAATTCAGTAAACACATGAAGTGTTAGTACAACAAAGTTTATTCAGTTTTTTTAATACTGAGAAATAGATTACCATTTTTTTTTTGGTACCGGGGATCGAACTCGGGTCCTTGTACTTGCAAAGAAGGCCACTGAACCACTGAGCTAAATCCCTGGCCCAAGATTACCATTTAAAATCAAGTCATATTTAGTAACCCAATGCACTTATGATTATAGTTTTATAGTAGTAATTATGGAAATCCACTGATCCTATGTTTCAAATCAAATGTGATTATAGCTTTTAAACTACTAAATATTGCATAAAGAATTCACAAACCTAGAAGATACCGTGGAATGGTTCTTAGCTCTTTAAAATAGAAACCAAGACCCATTAAGACATGCAAATGAAGGTATTTTGCTTGTAGATATAATAATCCAAGACTACCATCTAATCAACAAAGCTAGCCTAGAAATACTCTATTTCTCATTCCTCAACTAACAAAGGGAGAAAAATCACTACAAAAATACAACATTTCCAGAGTTGGATAGTGTCTTAAAATTTTAGGGAGACAAAAACAATATCTACGACAAAGATGATGTGTTTGTAAAGGTTCCCCTTACCTGAAGAAAGAAGTTTCCTGCAGCAATCTGAAAAGCCACTTAAGGCTGCCAAATGGAGGGGGAACATTCCATGTATGCCACGCCTAAGGTTAACAGGACAGTACCTTCATTACAACCCAAGAAGAATATAATCATTTAAACAAATTACAAGATTACTTAAATGAAAGGTAACTACTTAAGTCAAAATCTCTAACACTTTGAAGAACAATTTGCATAGAGGGTGAAAATGGGCAAATTACTATTCAGCTGTGTATATATATTTGAAGTATGTGTGTGTTTTGCTGTTTTTTATTTTGGTGGACTGGGGATTAAACTCAGGGCCTTTGGTCTGAGCTACATTCCCTGCCCTATTTTTATTTATTTATTTTTGAGACAGGGTCTCTGCTACTAAGTTGCCCAGGCTGGGCTCAAACTTGTGATCCACTTGCCTCAGTATACTAGAGTGCTGAGGAGACAGGTGTATGCAACCACAACTGGCCCAAGAGTAGGTTTTTTCAACCTCTGCATTATGGCAATTCTGGACTTTGTTGTATAGTCGTGGTGTGGTCTGCATTGTAAATGTAGGATGTTCAGCATCGTCCCTAAGCTAAACATCAGTAACACTTTCCTCCCTGACCAGAAATGTCTCTGGATATTTGCTTGGGGAGCTAAACTCACTGCCCTATCACCCCTCTATTTACAGTCATTTCCATAAGGCAACATGTTCAAGAATAAAAATGTTCATTGCAGTAATTCTTTAATAGTGAAAAATGAGAAGCGACTTATGTTTATAATTAAGAATAAACTGTAATCTTTACAATTAAATTCCATAAAATAAATGAACTAGAGCTGCTTGTAGAGAAGTGAAATGTCCCCAAGTTTATACTAGCTACATGGTGGAATCAATATGTTAATGTAAATTTTTGAAGTTGTACAAGATCTGTATAGTAGCATACCATTAAGGTCTAAAACTTATTAATGAATAAATGTGATATATGGGGATCACAAACAAACCAACTTAAATATACAGTGGATCCCTGACTAACAAACTTGATTGGTTCCTGAGAAAGGATTGGGAATAAGTCAATATAGCTGAGATCTCAATGTTTACCTGGGTACATGCTATAAATAACAAGAGACAGATGAAGCTTCCATTAACCTAATTAAACCAAGGTGTTTCTATGTCAGGCCTTTTGTAACTTGAGGGTCTACTATATGTGGTGTCTACTTTTGCAGAGTACATACAAGTGAATTCATCTTTCAAATAAAAATTTACAAGGAAACATTAATAACAAAAGTGAGCTGTTCTGACTACAGTGGGGAACAGGGAGTTCCCTACCACCACAGTTCTAGGGATTGAATGAAGGGTCTTTATACTAAGCAACATCCCTAGTCTTTAAAAATATTGTTTATTTTGAAACAAGATCTTGCTATAAGTTACTAAATTGCCCAGGCTGGGCTCAAGCTTGTGATTCTCCTGCCTCAGGGAGAACATGAGATCTTTTCATCAGCAAGCAGGGAACCCATGAGCTCTGCACATCACATTATGAACACTCCAGAGAGTATTTTGATAAAAAAACCATTCACATTGTGTAACATTTTTTAGTTTCTTACGTAGATTAAAAATAAAGAGCACAAAAATTAAGTCTCTGATAAAAACTGCATACTGTATTACTCATGCTTGAGGAAGAACTGAGGTAAAATATGCAAAATTATACTTCACTGATGTATCAAATAAAAGTACATTTAAATATTTTTATCTACAACACTTTCAGTATTACAAAAGGAAAAAGATGACTTAGTATAATATTGAGGAGAAAATCCACAATTCCATCTGACATATCCAGAAAACCATAGTTCACATCCTTTTGCTTCCCTGTGACAGCTATTAACACCTCTGCCTGAACTACTTACTTTGCAGTGTCAGCACCACTTGTAATAAGAGTGTTGATTAGCAGCTCATGGCCATATCGCGCTGCTATGTGCAAAGGGGTGTTTCCATTCTTATCCTCACAGTCTATTACAGCTCCTGGAAGAGAGGACATAGTGTCAGACACTAAACTATGTAAGTTAAAACTAGTATATAGTGCAAGGTAAAATACTGTTCAAGCACCAACTAATGGATATAGCAATTCTAACCAAATTTCACTCATGGCTTATTTATGGGCCAAGCACTTGGGAGTTACAGATATTATGCTTAAGGTAGTTTTGTGAATTGAGCAAAAGATTTAACTTCACATTTTAAATTCACCGAAGGGTCTTAGGGTCCAACAAGTTTGGAAACACTGTGGAAAACATTTCTTTAGAGCAACACTTCTTAGCATTTTAATGTGCATCCTCTGCAAGACTGCAATACACTGCTTCAAAAATTACTTCATCAAAAATCTATTCCTAGTTTTTTTCCTGTAAAACTACAGCACCTAAGTAAAACCAAATGAAACTTAAGACATCAAACCAAACTATAGTAAACCAAAATAAAACCTCAAGCAACAGAACTTATACAAGTTATTTATATCTCAAGGACTGTTGTTAACAGTTCCTTGGAACAATGGTTCAGGCAACACTGATTTAAAATTACACACCTAAGTTATTTTTATTGAAAAGTTTAGCTTGCCTAGTACTAGTTCAAATACAAAGTTTCTAAATATTCAAAATATTCAAAAGGAAAAGTGATAAATGCCACAGAGTGTATATATCAACATATAATACATGTAGTTGAAAAGCAGTTTTCTACTTATTAATAATAAAAAAATTCTAATTGCTATAGAAATAAAACAATCTAGAACAATAGAGAAATAAATTATGAAACATACACATACTTCACATTTTATATTCTAATATTTGAAAAGATTTGAAATAAGTAGTAAAAATATGTATACTGTTATGACAATCCTGAATACCATTCATTTTGTAGATGTTTTTATTACATTTAAGAAATAAAAAACAAACAGAAATACTTTTTACCACTCTGGATAATGGTTTGTGATCTGGAGAATCTACCGTGGAGGGCAGTCATGTGCAGTGGGGTTTTCCCATCTTTACTCTGAAATAATCCAACACAAATTTTTTTTTAAAAAAACCCATTCTGTTACATCCATAATCTGTAATCCTTAAGTGTAATTCTGAATATCCTCTTGCTCCTTATTGTTTAACTGAAGCCTATGGTAAAACTGCTGTTCAAAATTATGAACTAATTTTTATTTGTACCATAAAGCACAAGTATATAAGAAATTTTGTTTACAGTCTATAAAAAGCTTCATGTGGTATAATAAGAAACAATCTTAATATTATTCTTATTCAGTAGGAGGGAAAACTGATACAAAAGGACATTAAAAGATTCAACCAAGAGAACATAATGAGGGGTGGTATAGTCAAGGTATGTTTCCCATATTTAAGACTCAAAATTTCACGTTATTCCAATGTTTTAATTTGATGGACTCCTGAATCCCTCCTTGAACAAGGAAGAGTATCAGAATTAAATTCAGTTACTATAAGTCATTTTTAAAATGTATGCGTATAGTAATTTGTTAATAATTATTCATAACTGGTATTGTTAACTATTCTCTAAGATCACTTAAAATACTGTATCAGACTGGCTGGACATGTGTATATGTCAGGTAAAAATTCTAAAAGACTCTTAAATATGAAAATAAACAATCCTTAAGGTAGGTGTTATCTTTTCTTCTAAGTTAGGTTAATTTTTCTTCTTCCCTAAAATCCTTTGATCTATCTATGGAAGAAACTGGTTCGCAGCACCTACTCCTTTAGGAATAGTCAGCTGCCTTCTGTTCTGTATACTGAAATGTGACAAGCGTCCTAAGTTTATACTAACACTATACGAATGCACAACTCTTTAAGAAATTTTCATACCATTTGGACTATTATAGAAACATACCTCACTCAGTATTTGATTCTTTAACGTTATATGAAATTTTCAGGCAAACAGGTCATCCAGGTAATCTTAAAAATTTTACAACCATGGAGGCAGTGTGAGAAGGGTGAGGGAGTGAAGGTGCACACAAGCATGGGGTCTGGAGTCAAGAGCAACACGGGCTTGAGTCTCATTACTGCCACTTACCACAAGCAAGACTTTGGACAAACTACCTAACTTCTTCGAGCCTTCAGTTCCTCAACTGAAAATGGGGACAACACCATCTGTATTTCATACTCTGCTATACAGAGTGAATACACTAACCTTGGTAAAATGTCCACATAACACAATAATGCCTCTTATAAACCAACTATCATTTTTTTATTTGGTGTTTTTAAAGGTACCAGCTATTATTCTTTCAAGAAAAAAAACCACAAAACAAAAGCATTTAACACAAGGAATACAGCTTTTCAAAGTGTTCCCTATGTGACAAATTTTTATTTTATTGAGACAGTCTCGTTAGCTAGGTTAGGGTGACCTTGAACCCTCTATGTAGTGCAGGCTGGCCTTGAACTCATGGCAATCTTCCTGCCTTAGCCTCCCAAATGCTGGGATTATAGCCGTATGCCATTTCTGCACTACATGTGGCTCAAATTCTGATTTTTAATACTAAGCTTTTACCTACAGTCATTTTTACAGACAAAGAGAAAGTAAATCAAACCAAAGATGTGTATTTAAAAGTTAGGATTCACAAAATGATGAAATTTGAAACATCTAATTTTAATTAACATATATAGTAAGCGGTGTTTCAGGTATAGTCTAAAACATTTCATATATATTAGTCATTTAGTCCTTACAACCCAATGAGATAGACACTACTAATCTTGTTGCACAGAAGAGGAAACTTAGGTCCTGAGGTTAAAAAATTCAATCAGGTCTCCGAGCAAATAAAAGGTAGTCTTTTATTATAAGTTATAGGTGGCACTAGGGTAACTTTTACTTTGTATATACTGATCATAAAAATCATTCTACATATACAAAGAATGAGTTTCAGGTTTCCAAATGAAAAGTCTGCCTTCATACATATTAGGAGGGCACATTTATTTCTCTGAATTGGAGAACCACAGAATCAAAGTAGGAGTTTTAAGCAAAAACAAAACAAAAAGCCCCATCAACATTCTAAGAATTAGTTTCATGTATAATCAAAAACAGTAACAACAAATAAAGCAAGAAAAAAGCCACACATTTTAAAGTAGTTTTTAAGTTTAAATTTTAAATCAAGTTCTTGGTCTATTTGTTTAGTTGATCCATCTTTATTCTTAAAGAAGAATGGAGTAGGTGTGAAAAATGTGTACATACAAGTAAAGTAATAAATGAAGAAAGGCTCATATTAAGTGAAGTTATAAAACAGTATAGTTAGTATCTTTTCAAGCCATTTATTTACCTCCTCCATTCTGGAGGACAACTTATAAAAGCTTATAAAATGAATTATTACAAATTGAATCACTGCAATTTCTAGCAATCTACAAATTAAAGACAGAAACAGCAAGAATGTAGTTGGAAAAAGGCAGCAATAGTAAAAAAAAAAGAACGAGGGCTAATGAATCTAATTTTATTTTATAACACAGGAAGGGCTAAAAACTCAGCCCCTCAAATCAACATTTAATACACACTCATTTGACAAATACTGTAAATGTCAGAAATGAATATGTATCTTTGCTGGTTGAAAATTATACCTATTAAATTTTTTTGCATACTTTTAGAACTGGAAGGCACCACAGAAGTTGTCAGCAAGGGAAATATGTTCCACTGGAACATGGCAATAAAATGATTGGACAATTACATATAAATAGGATGTCATACATCCTCAGGTGAGATTAAGACGACTTTTATGAACTCTATTTCTAAACTAACATTAGCGATTGCTGCCTTCAAATCTACTTAGATGTTAAATATTAATTCCTTGGCTAATTTTTTAAAAAAATGTACAAAATCTAGTACTGAATTTTAAAAAATCAGTAAGGATATAACTTCAGAGGGACCACTGTTCTGAGTATTTTATAAGTGAATCTCTTACGGCTGATTCTCAATTCTCAGTTTCAAAAGAAAACACAGATTTAAAAATAATCACAGGCAAGCCGGGCAAGGTGGGTGCACACCTCTAATCCCAGCTATTTGGAAGGCTGAGGGAGGAGGCTTATAGGTTTAAGGCCAGCCCGTGTGACTTGGTAAGATGCTGTCACCAAATAAAATGGAAAGAACTCTGGATGTAGATCACTGGTAACTATGCAAAAGGCCCTGGGTTCAATTCCAAAAATGATATGACCAAGGGACTAACATCAAATTATATTAAATATTCATGTCTAAATGGCAGTGTATAAAGTAGGAAGCCTAATCTTTGTCCTTTAAAGACAGTATCATATAACTGAAGAGTGTGTAATAGCTAATGATATAGGCAAGCAATCCATAATTTCCCCAATAATATTTAAGCTACAAAGATTTTAACTATAGCTATTTTATCATGAACAAGTCTCAGACTAAAAAACTGTGGTTGTGACTTTTGCTTGAGGGATAGTGCAATAATTTCAATACTTTTATTTATGAAATACCCAAGTTATGTCTTAAAAATTACTGGACTTTTGAATAAAAAAGGTAATTTTCCTTCCCCAATTTATATATTTTTCTGGGCCTCAATTATCCAAAAAAGCAAAAATTCTTCAAATTAAAATAAATGCTTCAAACTTATTACAATTTTAAGTATAGTAATTAAACCAGGCAAAATAAATCATTACAATTTGATTGAGAACTGAAAGCCTTAAACGTATATTCTTTAAAAGAAAGTTTTGCCCTATGCATAAAAGAGACTATTTATGATATTTCATGTGCTCTTCCTTCCTTGGGTGTGATATCAATAATTTTTGTCCCTTAGCTGGAAGAAGGCAAATTAAAGAAAGGACTTAATTTTTGATGGCCTTGATGATGCTACAGCTTTCTGGAGTGGGTTAGCGGCATCACTAAAGGTTTAACTGTAGTTAGGTAAGAAAATGGACTCCTGTCTCCACTAGTCTGAAAGACAATACTTATCATATACCCGAAAAATAATTAAAATCAAGCTTAAATATTTTGTACTAATCCTAAATGGTTCAATTGTGATTGTGGCTTTCTTTTCTTCTTACAAGATACAGTTTGCCAGGTGGTGAAAGGATGAACTAATGAATTAATACAGAGCAACTAAGTGAAAGAATCTTGGAAAATCTATGTACCATAAAATACTGATACTCAAAATCTTCATGTGCTTTCTCATAGAATTAGACAGTAAAAATAAATTTATTTTGGTTCCAGAATTTTCATGTATATCTACAGTCCAAATTCTTTAAAAAAAAAGTGGCTGCGACCAAAAGCAATGATTCCTTAGATGCAAGACACCAATACTCTTTTTTTCCCCCTCCTAACACTGAGAAATTTTACAACAGTAAAGCCAAAAATTTTTAAAACAAATATTTAAGGAAAAGAACTGCAGCATAAATATCCATAAACAATCCCACCTGGACTCTTCTGCTACTGTATGACTTTTACCACATTTTCGATCTATCCATCTAATTATTTGATGTCTTTTAGTTATGGACATTACATGTCATAAGTACACAATTTAAAATGCATACTATTCATTTTTTGTTTAGTTTTTTTTTCCTTTTTTTTTTTTTTTTTTGTAATGGGGATAGAACTTGGGACGTTGAGCTTAGAAGGCTAAATCCCCAGCCCTAGTTTCTTTTCCTTCTGAGAGAAAATTTACAATAAGGTGTACAAATTAGGTACCATATCTTGAGTTTTGAAAAGTGCTTATCTATATAATACAAAGCCCTGTCAAAATACAATACATTACCATCAATCCTATAAAGTTTTTCCGTGCTTCTTTCCCAGTCAATCCTTCCTCTCAGAACTAATAATTGTTATGATTTTTTCCAACTATACATTCTAGAATCCCATGTAAATGAACCTTCACTATTGTAGAACCTTTTAGAGCTAGAAACACTATATATACTTTTGGTCTCATTCAATATCTTTTAAAGGTTAATCCATGTTCTTCACTTTATCGAAGCTCATTATTAAGTTGCTGAATGGTATTTGCTATGCTTTTAAACATGTGTTCTGTTTCATACCTTCATATTGACATCAGCCCCATTGCCAACTAGAAGTTCTAAACACAATGCTCCATGTGTAGATGCAGCAGCAAAGTGCAAAGGAGTAAATCCTTTTTCATTCTTTTGATTTACATTAGCACCACTGTCTATAAGTTCATTCACTACAACATCTTGTCCATTGTAGCAGGCCACATGAAGAGGTGTATTTCCATAGGCATTTGGTTCGTTCATCTATTGGAAGAGAAATAAATGTGTGAGTATTAAAGTAGTTTTGCTAATTATCATTATTGTGGGCTACTTTAGAAATCTTTTGGCTGTAAACAAATTATTAAAGTGAGAAAAGACAAAAGGGATAAACACACAGATAAGGCTTATAATGCTAAAGTTCTTTTAAAATAATGAACATAAACATTTTGGTATTACGTGGATTATGTACATTTAGAGGATGTAATTTCATATACAATGTTTATGTCATGACAAAACTGCTTCCAAAAAAGACACTTTAGGAAAATGAAAATTAACAATGTTATTTTTAAAAGCCCGGTAGGACAAGAAAAAGAGGGAAAATAGAAGAAAAAATGGAAACAAAACTTTTATACATAGGGAGGGAAGGGGGCCTGAGGAGGGGGAAAGGGATAAAGTAAAATTTATTTAAAAAAAAAAAAAAAAAAAAAAAAAAAGCCTTTTAAAAAAAAAAAAAAGAAAAGAAAAGCCTTCTAGATAAAGGACTTTCTATACAATTAACTCAAGAATCATGAAAAGTTAACCAACAACGAAGACTCTGAAGTTCACTCAGTAACGTGTTATTTTCAACTTTTTCACAATGAAGTGACAAAAGACTAAAATGAGTACTGAAGCAGACATCGGGATTTTTAAAAATCAGTGGCATGTTCTTCTATTTAGTTCAGTTTTATTACAAACTTGTATCTATTTTCTAGCTTCATGTGTTGACATTTTATCAAAGGAAAGAGAATGTGAAATAATGAGAAATAACTCATGCAACTCAGGGTTGGCCACACATTAGATCTTCGAAGAGGGCTGACTACATTTGACTGTCTTTTAGGATGGGGTCAGCGGTGCCAGAATTAACATGTTTCTGCCAGCTTGAACCACGGAACAGTCATGCTTGTCATAATGGTGGTTCAGAGATCCCCAGCAGCAAGACATACAAATTACAGCCCTACCATGAACGTGTTAAACCAACAATGTGAGTTAGGGTGGGGTTTGTGGTTCATGAGAACTATCAGACTTGGAGAATGAAATTAATCATATGGGTAAATCAATAAATCATGTCTATATAATGAAACCCCAATTAAAAACTCTGGAAATGAAGCTCAGGTAAGCATTCTGAGTTGACAATACTTTGTGTACACTGTCACACATTTATACTGGTCAAGTAATCTGTCCAGTCTTTATGAGGAGGGAATGATAGAAAACTTCATCTGAAGTACACTCTCAAAGGCTCTACCTTACGAGTCTCCCTTCCTTTGACTGATTTTAACTGATCTCTCTTCCTTTAACTGATATAATCTTACACTATAATTATGAACTGGGCTTGATGGTGTATAGCTGTAATCTCAGCATTCTGGGAGGCTGAGTCAAAAGGATTCCAAGTATGAGCCCAGTCCCAGCAACTTAAAATTAATGTTTCAAAATTAAATGGTGGGGGGGGGGCTGGTTGTGCATCTGTGTGATGTAGTTCAGTTGTGAAGTACTGCAAAAAAGCAAGCCAAATCAGAACAAAAACATACTTTAAATGTAATGGCTTTCAGTGAATTTTGTGAGTCCTTCTAGTGAATTATTAAGCTGAAAGTGGTTTTGGGAGCCACCAACACATGTGGTTGAGTGGCCTTGTGTAGAGAATGCCCTTTCACTTTGTAGTTGGCCTCAGTTTCTCACAATTTTAATCATGGTAACAAAAACTGGAAGAAGCAAAAAACTTAACTTCAATCAGAGTATCTACATTTTGTCACCAGAAGATTCTCTCTCAAGGCCTCCAGAATGAACCAACCTTGTTCATACCTTAAGACTAAATTTCTGTGTTTTAAAAGTCCCTTACTTTGCGGTAATTTGTTATAAAATTTCTAGAAAACCAAAAACCCACACAATTGGAGGTCACATGTTACTAGAGGGTTTTAAATTGGACCATTTACCTCAAAGAACACTCTGCCACTAGAATCTACAAGTATTATTTTACTGTCACCAAAATAAATTTTAAAACTGTATCAAAATGTATTTAAAACAGTGACTAGAAACAAGGCTAGTTCATTTATCTATACAGTATTAGAAGACTTTTAAGGCAATTATGTTACTCTGTTGAAACAGCTACAGGAACTGTTAGGTTGAAATTCTGTACTCTAAAAAGATCTCATTCAACAATATGTTAAGTTTTTTTGGAATTTCTTGTGATTCCTACATTTTGAATAATTACTTGCTTGTTTTCATCAAAATGTTTCTCAAGGTCCTTAAAATTAACAGTCCAGCTCTATAGTTCTGTCATATATACTGCCCCCACACACACTGGGGATCAAATTCAGGACCTTTTTCTTGCAAGGCAGGTACATCACCAACAAGGTCTACATCCCTGGCACCTCTGGCATGTATTCCTTGTCTAACGAGGCTATCACACACTTTTTGTTAATTTTTTGTCCTGATCTTAACTCCCTCCCTCTAGTACAACTTTGCCTTCTCTTATGTAATTTGCCACTTTGAAGAACCAGGAAGTTTGCCTGAACTGTACCAAAAATAACAGCAGGAATAAAGTTTAAAGCAAGGCCTGTGAAAGCTACAGGTACTCTCAGCTGTCTCAATTCAGGAATCAAATACATCCAGACAGAACAGTATTACTTCCTAAACAAAAGAATTATACAGTAAGGAAAACATACTTGATAGGCAAGAAGTCTCTAGTCTTCATGCCTAGCCCTCATGAATATCTTATTATGCAATCTGTTACAGTCATTTAAAGAGAATACCATACTACTTAGGTAAACTGGACTACCAATAACCTAGCTATCTAATCCAAATGTGTGTTATGTGCTGGTTTCCACAGAACTGGAGAAAATGGAGATTCAGGACCTAGAAAATGATGGAACAAACCTGGCCAATCATTCATATTTAAAATGTTATTTTAGTTTTAAATGTACTTTGATTAATTACATACCCTGATCATACTTTGCACTAACATATTTAAAGGAGTATAAAAATCTGGAGAAAAGACAAATATTATTGTAAAATAATCTTTCAAAGTAACTAGTCAATAATTTAATAATAAAAATATAAAACACTGTATTATTTTATACTGTTCAATCTATACACCTACATCAACTCCAAGATCTAGAAGGTACTTGACTACGCTGATCATTCCACTGGACGCTGCTGCATGAAGAGGTGTATAAGACTTCTTATCTTTGCATGTTACTTCAGCTCCATGAGCCACAAGTAATTTCACTACATCAATGTGACCTGAAAATGTGTTTATGAAGAAAAAGAGATAAGCATATAGAAAATATTAAATGTAACTATCATTAAAGACAAAAATGCTTACTAAGTACACAATGCATGAAAATCACTAATAAATGATGTTATAATTGAGAATACAGAAGAATATAAGATTTCAAAATAATTTTGATAAATGTTGGTACAGGTTTAAGATGTGTTATGTGCATGCATCAACTTCCCACAATGAATGCAATCATTATGTACTGCAAATGTGTACTAATAAAAAATTTTTTAAAAGTTGGGAGAGGAGACAATTAAAACACTACAAATAATTATTTTACTCAGTGATAACCCTACAATCTATAATCTTCTTTTTGTCCAGATCTTATTTCACCTATACCCCACTCCCCAGGTTTTAATACATGTTAAGTTCGAAGATTAGGTTCAATGCTACTCTAAGAAATTATATTTCTTTGCTGTGCTGGAATCTTTTACTTATAACAGGGGAGTGACTTGGGCTTATCTTCCTCTATCTTCCCTTTTTGAGAAGGGGTCTTGTTATGATTACCCAGACTGGCCTCAAGTTCCAGAGTGCAAGTGATCCTTCCACCTCAGTCTTCTGAGTGCTGGGACTACAGTACAGGCACAAGCCACATTGCCTGGCAAGCTTATTTCTTTTTTTTTTGGTACTGGGGATCAAGCTCAGGACCTTGCACTTGCAAGGCAGACATGGTGCCACTGAGCTAAATCCCTGGCCCCTTAGGCTTGTTTCTTAGAATGTTAGTTTTTTAAACTAGGTATGATGGCACATGGCCTGTAATCAATCCCAGCACTTAGATCACTGAGTTTGAGACCAGCTTGAGTCACATAGTGATTCAAGGCCAGCCCAAATTTGAGACAGCGAGACTGTCTCAAAAAACAAACAAGCAAGCAAACAAACAAACCAAAAAAGAAAGTTAGGTTTTTAGAAACATAGCTGAAAATTTTTTTCCCTTACTTTTTTCCAGGAGATCACATTAACCTACTTAGGCCTGCTACTCATCCATGTAATAGGATAGGCAAGTGTGGTGCAGTTAATAACCCCCAAATCTCTTTGGCTTAACTAATAAGTATTTTTATTTTTCATTCACAGTACAACAGGTTGGCAAGAAGGCTCTATTCAGTAACTCAAGGACCCAGGCTCACAGGATTGACATCATCTTCAGTGAGGCTGGTCAAAGTGCCAGAAGGAAAAGACTACAAAGTTTCACACTGGTAATTTTATGGGGCGACCTAGCATGTTGCTTTCATGATGCTGTTTTTAATTCATTAGTCAGAACTACTCACAGGCCCTCACCCAACCACAAAGAGGCCATGAAAGGGGGAGCCATGTAGCTGAAAGGTGAGAAAGAGACTACACAATTTTTTTATGTCTTCATTTTAAAACATCAGATCAGATCACATATTGCTTTTTTCCTTTTCCCACAATCTTTTCCATCTGTGTCTCTGTGGGTGAGATTCCTTCTTACATGGAGTATCCTGTTGAGTATCCTTCCCAGTCACTGCTACTGACCCTTGAAAGCCCAAGTCAGTCATGTTCTTTCCTGACCAGTCACCTTTCATCTCCAGAAGCCTCATCAGCCCCAAAGCACCAAATACCTACACATCCCATCTAGCAGTCATAAATGCCTTGTGAGGTCTCAAAATTATTAACTCTTAATTTACTTTTTGTTTATTTACATATTTTTTTTTGAGACAGGATCTTGCTATGTAGTTCAGGCTGACCTTGAACTCACTGTGCAGTGCGGGCTGGCCTCAAACTCCCAGTCCTCCTGCCTCAGCTCCCCACATGCTGGGATTCCAGGTGTGCACCCCCACACCCAGCTTCTTAATTTACTTTTTAAAGATTACTTTAAATTATAATTAATTCCCCCAAATATAGACCTTCAAAGGCAGAGATTGCATGTTCTATTAGTATATTCCACAGTGCCAAGAGCAGTATTACATAACAAAACAGGTGCCTAATAAGTATGTTACCTTAATAAATTGCTTCTGATGCCATTCTTACAATTCTTTCTTATGGACCAAGTATATGAAGTTTATAAAGTAAGGTTTTCCAACAGGGATCCTTTCCTCTCAACAAAATTAAGGCAGGGTATACTATGTGATATATCAAGACTCAGGCAGATCTACCTGTTTATACATAAATTATTAATCAGAGCGAATATTTTCTGCTTTCCCTCCCTCACCTCAATAAGGGAGAGGGATGAAAACCCCATTTTATGTTTCTAGGGGTAAAAAAGGATGTTGTTATGGTTTCAACATCCCCAGAAAAACTCATGTTAACATTTCATTCAGTTACAGCAACAGAAAAATTATTTAAGATAGCTATCAACTTATAAGGCACCAAATATGGTATTACATATATTTTTTTATACATGGTAAAAGATCCCCCAGTATATATTACTCATTACATCTCTAAAAAGACACTTATTAACACCTGGAAGGTTCACACATGAATACAGGTTTATTTTCTTAATATTTTTTTATTTTTTGCAGTACTGGGAATTGAATCATGATTTAGCTTCATGAATGATGCTACATAAGTACTCTACCTCTAAGTATCTCCCCAACAACCCTAAAGCTTTTAAAAATGGGCAAGTAGAAAAAGAAACTAAACTCTCTGTATGTTTAAGAGTAAAAGCTGTATACAGAAACATACTGGGGAAAATGTTCAATACATCATAAGTAAATAATGCTGATTGTTATTTGTGCTTGCAAACTAATAGATTCCAGAAATATGAATGTTTCCTAACACCAATAAAGCCTTATTTTATTTTTTTGGTACCAGGGATGGAATTTGGGACCTTGCGCTTGTGAGACAGGTAGCAGCAGCAGCACCACTGAGATAAATCCCCAGCCCAATAAAGACTTATTTTAAAAGGGAGCTATTACAAGCAAATTTACAATCTGAAAATTGACAAATATTTGAGTACATTTCATAAATATAGAAAATCCATTCAACAGACCACTGAAAACATGAAGAGTCTCTCTAGCCAGTTTGGAAGTGATTTAAGGTGGGGGTAGTTCTACAGTGAAATGATACTGTTACAACTGGATGGTCTATGGCCAGAACAAGTGCATGTCTTGTCATTTACAGAATGACACTACCAAGGGAACTAGAATTCATTTAATTTACAGAGCTATTTTTAGAATGGCATCCATCAGGTATGTATCATTTAGCATTCAGTGATAACACCCAGGAAAAGCAGAATCAGTAGTGGCATAAGCATATGCAGCAGGGCCTAATGTAAAACTAAGGGAGCTCAAACAGGATGGAACACTAGTACCGACAAATAAACTATAGCAAGACTGCATGTGATTCCTGATGTGTCTTACACTAATACTGATGGATTTTCTGAATATAACTGAGAGGAGACAATGGCACAGGCTTCAGGCTTGTCTTTAAAACAACCAGTGACCATTCAACAGCTTCCTACTTTTACATGTTTAGCAACGCATTTCCTCCAAAGATCACTGCAACAGTTATTAAGAAGCAGGACCTTTAAGAGATAAAAATAAAATATTCAGAAGTCTACAATGCTAAAAGATGGAAAACCCGAGATGTGAGGAAGAAACTTCAGTATACCCAAGCAACTTGCTTCTGGCTGTTTTATCGTCAATGAACACAAGAAAACGGGCCATTACATGACAAAAGGTACAAACTTTGTGGTATAAAACATCAAGTTTTTAGCTTTCGGCTATCAAAATGGCAACAGGACAAAAATGCTAATCCTTCGTTTTAACTTTCTTTACACCCACTCTGGACATCAGAATTGAAATTCTCCTGTTTGGGATTATTTTTATTAAAAGCAAAGGTAGTAAGTTATCTATACTAAAATTTGATATATAAGATTTGATGAGAAGATACAGATATGTATATACAGCGTTAAAACTGGTTTACATCTACTTTATAATATCATACAGGTTTCTGTGTTACTAATCTTCCACTGAATCTTCTTTTAATCTTTTACTTTTAAATGAGACAGGAAAAGACATATACAGGAGCAAGAAAGTAATGGATAAGCAATGCCTGCAAGAGTGGTTAGCTACATTTCTAGTGTGATCAGTATTATCATAGAATGATTTTTGCATCACATAGTCGATAGGGCAAGTAAAATGTGTTTTTCCCCAGCCAGAGATAGCAAGACAGTAGAAGCAGCACTGCAACCTTTGGCAGGAAGAAAACTAGCTCTGAACACCACAGCTGTAAGAGGCAGTGTTCCTCCATCTTTGTTCGAAGAAACTTCAAAACTGAACACCTACATCCATGACTTCTTTGAGCCATAGCCCCAGTCTTACAGGACTTCCAAGGCTTGTGGCAGGTTATATTGCTTCCTTGTTCATAGATTTACTTCCATCTGCATGGTCTTAGCATCTACAGCAGAGTAAAAATGCTGTTTTGTGTATCTTAAAATATTCTAACAACCAATTCATGTTTTTGTTACAACACACAATTTCATAGGTATTGTGAGGTCTAGTTCAAGCCTATTTTTTCCCCATGAACTCTATTCGTTTTACAATACAATTGTATGATTTTCCAAAAATACATTTATCATGTTATAGTAGGAAAGTGTGTATTGTAAGCCTCAGTTTCCTTCTTTGAAATGTTATAGAAAACAAACATTTAAAAAAATCAAACAAGGCATATTTAACCCAACATTTGGCACAAAAAAATAGGCTTAATATAGCTTTATAACTTGTACCTTTATACATCAATAAAAACATATTGGAATGGGCTTTTAATGAACACCAGTCCTAAATTAAACACTCCAGGCCTGTGTTGGAAATGTCCCTCCCTTTAAAGGTAAACAAACTTAATTTCAACAGCTTTTAGATTAACTGAATTCAGTGCATTCCTGTTGTCGCAAACCTCCGCTATGACCAGGCTATTTCCATTTGGGTAGCAAACTCGGATATGGTGTAACTTTTTAATTACACACAAAGAAATATTACGCAAATGGAAAGAACTAAAATGTGCAACTTTTCCTAACATCAAAAAGTTAATGTAAGGGCCGGGGATTTAGCTCAGCGGTTTGGTGGCCTGCCTTGCAAGCGCAAGGACCAGAGTTCAATCCCCGGTACCCACCCCCCAAAAAAAGTTAATGTAAAAAGTACATACCCATGTATGCTGCCCAATGTATAGCACGCCGATCCTTCTTGTCAAAAGCATTAATATTGGCACCCCTGGACAAGAGTAATTTGACCATCTGGAATAAAGCAAACAGTTTCCTTTTTTAAATTCAGAAGTAGAACTGTTCATGATCATCCTCTGTGGTTACTACTCATTTTTATTTCTGTGGCACTGTACATTTGTAGAAAGGAAGTAGAGAGACTTAATATTGAATATAATAACATAAAACACAGGATCAAATAGGAAAAAGGGTCTAGTGTATATGTCAGGAACCAGTACATTCATACAATGGTGCTTGACTGCTTTGAAATTTGTTGAATTTGCTACTAGAATTTTGTATTTTGATACAAAAATTTTGTCCTGATACTTGTGGTTTGTTTGGTACTTGATATACAAACTAGAACTTATTAGTATTGATTGTCCCATGACTCATGACCCTTTCCAGCCAAAACAATTTGTTTGGTACTTGTCACGCCTCCTGGAACCAATTAACAAGTACTAAGGTACCCCTGTATCTTTTCTGTTTTTTGGGGGGGTTCAAGGGATTGAACTCGGGTCCTTGTGCTTGAGGCAGGCAGCGGAACCACTAAGCTAAAGCCCCCAACCCTACCACTGTATCTTTTCAAGATATTACTTTACATTCTGGTATTTTATAAACAACTGAGTAAAAATCTGGAAAGTCTATTTTTGGATTTTTTTTTTTTGTACCGGGAATCGAATTCAGGACCTTGTACTTGAGAGGAAGCCTGAGACACCACTGAGCTAAATCCTTAGCCCCCATCAGTGGAATTTTTAATAAGAGGGTTTATTCCTCTTCATAGCCCCAAGTGTCTATTAAAATGCAAAGCATTCTCACACCGAAAATGTTTTCAAATGAATTCAAGGAACAGGTAATATCTAAAACATGATTAAATCTGACAGACATAGTACAGTCTACTTATGTCATAATGTACCAAGAACAGTTAATTATATCTAATCATATTTACAGTAATTTTTTCATTGAGGGGCATTCCAGATTTCAAAAGTAGCACATTTCATGACCTTAACTACAGCGGAGGAAAGGATTTTTCATGTTGTAAAATCAGAGTATATTGCATTGTGTAAACAGTTGGCAATGTTGTTACTCCAAGTATTTCACTATGAAATACAAGTGTATGGGTAATAATCTTTGAAATAAGTATCTAAATTTGACAAAGTTTTATCATGAAAAAGTCTAAAGGTATGCTAAAGGCAAAGTGAAACATAAATAAGACGTTTTTGTTTGCTTTTATTATGGACTGATAAATGGCTAAAAACAGCATGTACATTAATAACCAGGGGTTAGAGCAATGTAAAAATAATCACTAATTAGATGCCACCTACCTCACCATGTCCACTGAAAGCTGCATGATGTAATGCAGTTCTTCCTGCTCGATCAGACACATTTACATTACTAAGAAGAGGTACCAAAGCTTCGGCACATTTTACAGCTTTATTAGCAGCAGCTATGTGTAAAGGGGTTTGCCAATTTTTATCTCGAGCATTTACATCTGCAGAATGCTTCAAAAGTACCTGAACTGCTTCCTAAAATATATGAAACAAAAGTTATAAAAGACAAGTAAGTTAACAGTTTCAGAAGTTTTACATATATAAAATATAAATGAAGGAAATAAAGTTGATAGAACTTGCTATAAATATAAGTAGAAATTTACTCAAGAAAACAAAATATTTTAAGAGTCATAAAAGGATGTTTCAAGACTCTGTCATTAGACATGATAGCATAAGCCTATAATCTTATCAACATTTGGGAAGCTAAGGCAGAGAATTGCCATGGGTTTGAGGCCACCTTGAACTACAGCCTGGACTAGAAAGTGATACCCTGTCTCAAAAATGACATTTCCTTTCCTTATCCTCTCACTAGAAGATACAATAATCCTTATCAAGATGTACAAGAGAAAGAAATGTTGACAAATAACCTTCAAAAGGATTTTTCTTGTTTCTAGTTAGCAAAATACAATTAATTTACATACTCAAGTTTTATCACTATATATATATACATATATATTCGAATATATAAAAATTTAAAAAACATCTCAAAGTAGACACATGCCATACTTTGTAAAATAAAATCACTAGGTATAGTTCATTAAAGTTTTAAAGACATATACAGTTCCTTGTGAAATCTTCGTACTGATTTCCATAGTAGTTGTACTAGTTTACACTGCTAACATTTTACCACACCCTTGCCAGCATGTCATTGTTTGATTTCTTAATGATAGCCATTCTTTCTGAAGATGTAATCTTAACATTGTTTTAATTTTCATTTCTGATAGTCAGAGATGCTGAGTATATTTTCATATATTAGTTGACTATATTTCTCTGTGAAGTGTTTGTTCATTTTTCTTGCCCATTTTTTTGACTGAATCTTTAATTTTAGGTGGTTTAATTTTAAGTTCTTTGTATATTCTAGACATTATTAGTCCTCTGAGTAGTTGGCAAATTTTTCCCCATTTCTGTTGGCTGTCTCTTCACTCTACTGATTCTTTTGCTGTACAGAAGCTTTTCAGTCTCATATAATCCCATTTGTTGATTCTTGCTGTTATTTCCTGCTGTTGTGGAGGTTCTGTTTGGAAAAATCCTTTCATACACCTATGTCTTCAAGTGTTTTACCAATTTTATCTTCCAGTGGGTTTAATGTTTGATGTCTAGATCTTCTATTGATTTATTTGTCTGTTTTGTTCCAGAATCATGCTGTTTTTATCACTACTGCTTTGTAGTATAGCTTCAGGTCAGGTATTGCTGCGTCTCTCTCTCTGCTCTTGTTGCTCAAAATTTCTTTTGCTATTCTATGTCTCTTTTAGTTCCAATATGAACTTTAGAATTGTTTTTTCAAGGTTTGTAAATTATGTTGCTGGTATTTTGAGTGGGACTGCATCGAATCTGGGCAACAGCTTTGGGAGTATGGCCATTTTGCCAATATTGATTTTGCCTATCCAGAAGCAGGGGACACGCCTCCATTTTCTGATGTCCTCTTCAATCTCCTTTTTCCAAGTACTGTAGTTTTCTCTGTAGAGAATATGATCCAGCAATCCCCCTGCTAGGTATCTTCCCCAAAGATAAAGACTTCATATATAAGACATCACACTATAGTGATACCTGCACACCAACGTTTATAGCAGCATTACTCAGAAGACCTAAATCCTGGAAACGGCCTGGATACCTATCAATAGATGACTGATTAAAGAAAATGTGGTATTAGGCCTGGGATGTAGCTCAGTGGTGCAGTGTTTGCCTGGTAAGAGTGAGTCCCTAAGTTTGATTCCCAGTACCAAACAAACAAAAACCCAAAACAAAGAAAGTGTGGCTTCTATATATAATAGAATATTACTCTGCTGTTAAGAATGACAGATTTGAGATATCTGCAGGGAAGTGGATGTACCTGGAAAATATAATGTTGTGTGAAATAAACCAGACACACAAGCTTAAATATGATATTGCTCATGTGAGTGAGGCAAAGTGCAAAGAGAATAATGAAGGAGAGATAAAGGATCAGGAGGTGGATATCTTGCAATAAGTAGTCTAAGAAAAAGCATGATGGGTGGGAGGAGGAGGAAAGGAAAAGGGAAATGAGTAGAATGAAGATATGCCATGTACAGAAACCAAATAATCTCGGTTAATGTAAATATTATATGCCATGACAAAAGCTAAGATCAAAAGTATCAACAAGAATGAAAAACAGGATAGGAGAATTGGAGGGAATTAAAAAAAAAGAATCTATGGGTATGTACATGTAATTATTTCCCAATGTAAACTGTGTGAATTACAAACATGTATGAATCACTTTTTAAAAATGCATATACAAAGTCTTTTGTAACTGTGTATCTAGTGTGAAAATTGCTGTTAAGGTAATTTAAGTATTTACTGTCTAAAGAGATTTATTTCCCAGTAGCACAAGGAAAATCTAATAGTTGGATGCAAAGGAATTCAGTATGCTATCAACATAAAGCAATATAATCAGAATTAAACTGAGCAAAAATTTCTTCTTTACAATGATAATCCTATCTTTGGTAGATGAATGCCAAACCACAATAAAAAATGCAGACCAGAAACAAAACAGAATTTCAATTCTATTTACAGTGGATACTATTTGAGCTTTGGTAAAACCAATCCTTTGTGTTATTTGCAAAGGTGAAGGAAATATCACCTGCTCATCATTCTTCAAGTTTGCTGTAAGGTACAATAAACTAATATACATGAAAGTGTTAGATTGGTGAGATGTCTAATAATCCATCAATCTGCTAAGGAAATCAGTCAGCTAATCAAATATATGCATAGAGGCTTACAACTCCACAATTTCACTGTACTTGTTTATTCAGAAAAAATAAAAACAGCCCCATCAAAGAATGCTCATGGTAATTTATTTTAAACAGTAAAGGTCAGAAAATGATGTTTTAGGGTTACAAAATTATATTTTCATGGAACAGCCCCAATTTATAGCTGTTTTCCATCATCTTATAGAAGAATATCAGAACTACAGAGCTCAGTAATTTGGAGACTAAAGAGGAGACTAAGAAACTTGCCTGGACCTCTGGTTTCTAACTTTGTAACTTGTCCTTAAATTCAGGCTGAGTAAATAGTTTTAAGAAATCAGAAGTCAATGGGCAGAACCTGCCATCTTCCTCTAAACATTCATTTTTCTGAAGAATTTTTTACTACGTCTGCAAATATACAAAGTGTACATTCTGATGATTTAATATGATAAAACGTTATTAATTTTAATGGCCATATTCACAAGAGTCATACTGAAAAGTGAGTAGTTATGACTAACATTAAGTTTTAATAACAGTAATGTTGATCTTAACTGCTTTTATCTAAAGAAGAATACTTCTGAGGACTAACTACAAAATTAACAATATTACCATACAACTTCAGAACTCAGGTTTTTAGCTAATATGTCTTAGTGTTCCATATTTGCCTAACACAGTCGCTAAAATGTTGAGATAAATTATTTGAAGCTAGGGCCAGGGATTTAGCTCAGTGGTGCTGCCGCGTGCCTCGCAAGCACGAGGTCCTAAGTTTAATCCCCAGTATCAAACAAACAAACAATATCTGACGCTACTTTCTTCAAATCTAAGTTCCATAAGCTCATCAGTCATAGATTGTGTGCTCAAGTATACTGACTCTTCCCTGACTCTTCTCTCCCTCTCTCTCACTCCTAACAAGGAAGCTACAGTTAACCTACTGCCTCTGTCACATAGCAGAGTTTAAAAATCCATTCCCATCACTGTTCCCCTCTACTTCTCTTTTTTGCCCAGTTCTTATTCTGGGTTAAAGATATAGTATACAATGAAGAATACACAGAAGAATAAAGAGGCAAGAGTTCCCCTAATTTTCTCCTGAGGCAGTAACTGCCTTTCTTTCTCGGGAAGTCACCTGGTCCTGTCACAGGGGCAGTAGCTACAACTCTTAAATAACTAAAGAAACATGGGATTAACATTCACTTATACAATTATATTTTATACAATTTATATTTTAAACCACTTAAAAATATGAATCAAGCTCTATTATCAAAGTTCACTAAAAGAGGGGCTTTGGACACAACACATTATAGAAAAGAACCCAATGTATTTTATAAGTAGTAAAATGACAGAAAATGAGTGTCCAGGTTTTTGTCCAATTACCATGATTCAAAACTGAGTAGTCTTTTTATTTTCTTTTTCAAAATTGAGTAGCTTCTACTTGCCTCAAAACATCTATCCTTCTGTAAAGGTATTTTGAGGACAAGATATAAAAATATTTTGCAAATAAGAAATACTCCCTGAAAATGTCGGTCATCTTGATGAACAAACAATGTACAGGGCTATAAACAGGAAGGAACTAATCTTATTTCTAAGAAACCTTACATACTACAAGGATGTATATTTTCAACTGGTAAAATAAGTAACACTTTTTGAAAATGATTTCAGTGTCTAAGCACTATTTTGATTAATACACAGATGAAAGAAAATGTTGATTACAATTCAACAGAATCTGTCCAAAAGGGTACTGTGAAACACAACAGAAAAGCCATGGAGAGAATTAGATAAGAAAGAAAACTGATTTCTTTTTAGGAGGGAGAGAAGCAAAGTGTTTATACTCTTGGCTATTTCAGACTCTCTAGCAGGTCTTTCACACAAAAGGAGACATGGAGGGCTGGGGATTTAGCTCAGGGGTTCTGCTGCCTGCCTCACAAGCATAAGTTCAATCCTCAGTACCAAAAAAAGGAAGGGGATAGGGAAGGAGGGAGGGAGACACACACACGCACATGCACACACACACGGGACAAGGGGGTAGGGAAGGAGGGAGGGAGACACAGACAGACAAACAGACACACACATACATACACGCACACGCGCACACACACACACACACACGGGACAATTTACTTGGTTTATGCAAATTCTGAAGTAAAATGACCAGTCTTGGTATTTCAGTAGTTTCTTTTTCATTCTTTTGAAAACCCAGAATTTGAAGAGGGACTTAATCAGGCCTACTTAATATTTTTAATATACAATATATTTACTAATACAAATTTCATACCTCACTACAAGATGCAACTGCTCTGTGTAAAGGTGTCAACCATTTGCTGTCTTTGGCATTAACTCTAGCTCCTGCAACAAGAAGGAAAAAAAATTGAAATATTTTACATGAAATATTTTAAATAAATCTCTTGAAATAATAAATATATTTAGCCCAATTGGATAAATAACAATTGAAAAAGTACTGTAATTTTTATACTTTGTTAATAAATTACCCTGAAATTATGAAACAGAATTATCCTTTTTAACTAATATATCAAATAACATACTACTTCTTTTTATAAAAATAAAATAAACATCATTTTATATAAAAGCTAGAAGAGTCACCTTTATACAGAGCATGTTCAAGATAAAAATTGGACCCCACTTTAGAATATGGGTTAAAAAACACAAATACTTAACATACTACTACTCAGAGATACACTGTAGATTGTTCCAAAGTCTTCATTACATTTCTTTACTTCATGAACCTATCATGTCATAAACTAACATACATCAAAGTAGCACAACTATAATAAAAACACTATGGTACACAAAGGTTATTGTATAAAATGGATACAATGGGTACATTTAAGGAAGAAAATAGAAAGATGAATCAACTAACGTGTCTTTGTGAGTTATACCTAAGATTTGAAAGAAATTTTTTTTTTGGTACCAGGGATTGAACTCGGGTACTTGTGCTTGCGAGGCAGGCGCTGGAACCACTGTGCTAAATCCCTGGCCCCTGAAGGAATTTTTAAAAACAACTTTTAATCATTTTTCTACAGCTGTTTGAAAATCATTAAGTCAAGAGGCAGAAAATACCTATTACAGAATACAAAAATATTTAGCAAGACAAACAGTATATTACATAATTTAAGTTGAAGGGGAAGTATCTCTTATATAAAACCCACTGATTTGGCAGCCAAGTTCTATACAAATAGAAATGGCACATAAGTAGCATCACTATATAACTAAATAGCTGTGGCTCTTGTAATTGACTGCCAGGTCTTATCCTATAAATAATCCCAGATTTAGATTGTAAATCCTAATACATTTCTTATTCCCTAGATGAAGAAATACAGATGGAAGTAGCTGGGCAGTCATACAACCTGTAATCCCAGCACTAGGAGACATTTGGGGGGCAGGTTACCAGGGATTCAACTCAGGACCTGTGCTTGCCAGGCAGGTGCTGTGCCTCTGAGCTATATCCCTGGCTCTAATCCCAGCACCTGGGAGACTTAGTGAGGCAGGAGGATTGCTGCACGTTCAAAGTGAGCCTGGGCTACATAGTGGCACTACGTTCTACTGGATTGAGAGGCCTACACTCACATCCAGGCCAGTGAGGAGAAGCTGTGACTTCCATCCAAGTTTCAGGCAAGCCTAAGCTACATATGAGACCCTGTCTAAAGAAAAAGAAAAGAAAAGAAATACAGATCAAATGGATGAAATGAACAGCCCAACATAAGAGTTAACCAAGGTTAGAATCTTCGTATTTCCTAGTGCTTCCATTATTTCTATGTTTTAAGTACGAGGTTCCAAGAGACAATCAAGTGCAGTGACTTCATGTTAAGAGTGCCAATAACTACAGCTACAGAACCCTACTTAATTGTGTGATCCTTCTGAACCTCAATTTCTTAATCTATAACAGATATTATACTTTGTTATAAAGATTAAAATGTAATTAACAGTATACACAGCACAATTACTCTAGAGGCAGATTTTAAAGCTTTGGACATGAAAGAAAATAAAAGAAGGGTAGGAAACATTCATAAACGCAGCAGTTAAAATTCTGAAAGTGGCTAAGTTCTCTGTGGAAAGTGATAGTGTGAGGCCACTGAAAGAACAAAGGGCTAGTCAACAGGCAAAAAATACCTATTAGAGAACACAAACATATTTAGTAAGAGCTTTCAAGAATGCTCAAGATACTTTAGAAGGAAAGGGAGTTATGAAAATAGAGAAAGTTGTATATCTATTCTAAAATTTTTAATGTTAATTTTGTAGTGCTCAGAAACTCAGGGCCTTGCTCATGCTAGGCAAGTACTCTTACCATTGAGCTACAAACACCCCCAGATCAAGAGTAGTACCATATGTAATAAACATCTGGGCAACACTCCACCAGCCACTGTGGAGACCAAGATGGTTAAAATGTAGAGAATCTAACTACAGCAGGGTCAGCATTTGTTTTGGTATAAGATAGAATGTACGAAGTAGAAAAACATTTGAAATCTTCACAGGTTGCAAGTCTGGAGCCCTACAGAGAGTAAAAGGGAGATACAGATCATTTTTCTCACTTATCTGCTTATTAGAACTTGGATGATTCTCTATAGTTCCTGTGTCTCTTTCTATAGTTTTTATTTATGTGTACATATATGTTTACACAGAGTAGAAGGTCAAGTACTGGATCAACAAAGGCAAAGAATGAGATTTCAAGAAAGGACTTCAGAAGTCTGTTTTAGGATATTAACTGACAACAGAATAGAATATGGCTGTTATTAAAAAAAAAAATCAAGGAGGCTCCATAGCTATGTCCCTACCCAGCTCTAATAAAAAGTGAAAAAAAAAAAAGCAATAACTGCATGAATATGTGTTACTTTTATGTAGAAAAAGGAAGAAGCATCTTCATATTTGCTTTACATACATATGGAAACCCTAGAGGAATGAGAGTGGATGGTGTTGGTTGTGGGGTACACTGAAAACTGGACATAGGGGTACTGGATATAGGGGTACTGTGTACTGCTACTTGGTTAATATATAAAATTTTAAAACAAAACTGAGATATTGGTTGTTCAAAAAAATGTATTTATGAGAGAATAAAAAGGGTCATAAAGAACATTCCAAGATATGGCTTCATCAAAATAAAACAAAACTAGTAAAGAGTAGGGTAAAAATAGCTGTTTTCCTTCTTTTGGATGTGGACTATCAGATATATAATTGCATGATGAAAATACAATTTTAACAGTGCACATCAGAGACCAAAGTGAAAATCCTGCTGGCTTCAATCTATCTTTTTAAGTTAATGATAACAAATGTCTTTCTTTCTCTTTATGTGTAATAACATAACCAGAATTCATTTATCAAAACAAGTGACTACAATAATGAAGCCACTAGTGGCCAACTGAGGACATATCATACATCTAGCTCTTACTAACAATTTGGTTAAATAATTTTACTTCTTTTGATTCTAAACATACTTATCTGCAGAAATATCTGCACAATGGGATTTTAGGCCTTTGATCATAATCTTTCTCAGAAAAGTAATCTTTTGTTAGATCACGTGGTTCTTCTAAAAGCACTAGTCAAATGATTTAATGCTTTGGAAAATAAAGGCCAACTGTACGAGAAATCTCTGAGGAGCAATACCCCTGTTCAGAATGGTTAATTAGTAGGTGATTCACATATTAATAATGACATAGCAATCCACATTACAAGAGCAGCAGTTGGCCCTGTTCCTTTAAAATAAAAATAGACTATAACAGCCACAAACATGGCAATATATTTCTAATGGTTCAGATTCCCAGAGCCCATTTTAGTGAATTCTCTAAAGGTAAACACAGCACCCCAATGTTAGCTAAATATTAATAGAAACATTAATTTGCAAAGTTATTCTAGCAATGAAGAAGCATTTCCAGAGTAAAATTAGCTAGTCCAACACTTAGTTAAGGCTATAAAAAACTAGGCACAAAGACTAATAATGAGGATGGAGACAGAGGGGAAAAAAAGGGATCATATCCACTTAACACTGAATAGTCTTCATAAGAGAAATAAAACCAAATGCAACAGCCTCTGGTAGCATCCTCACGTTCCTACATAGTAGAAGATATTTGTAGGTTATAAAAACAAGCATAAATCAGAAAAAGATTAATTTCTTCACTGTTTGAGTTATTAAAAGAGAAAAGATAAAAAAATAGCAGTCCTATCTTAACTGTTAATGTTGGGTTACTGGTATATCCCTCCCCTTTTCTGGCATACTTTTGGAAACTGAAACCATGGTCTTTGCACTGAGCTACATCCTTAGGCCTTTTTATTTTGAGAAAGGGTCTTGCGAAGTCATTAAGGTGCCCAAGCTGGGCTTGAGCTTGGAATCCTCCTGCCACAGCCTCTAGGAATACTGGGATTACAGGTGTGTGTCTTCATGCCTGGCTATGGCATGCCCTTTGGTCAAAGAAAGCACTGTTAAGAAATTGAAGACAATAAAGAAATTTAAGGAAGATTTCCATGACTCCTGCAAACTTACATTACAGATAACCTTTTATGAGCAAGGATACATTTCACTAAATCCAAAATATTTATTCTCAATGAATCATAAGCATTTTTTATTAGACTTTCCTTCCTCCGAAAAATTAACTGAACTTTCCTGTAAGATACATAAGCAACCAAAGCCTATACTTACACATGCTTACTTGAATTCGGACTGTTACCTTTCCAAGGCAGAGATGTGATTTTTTATTTCATATATTAAAAGTAATAACAACACGGGGCCGGGGATTTAGCTCAGCGGTTCGGTGGCCTGCCTTGCAAGTGCAAGGGACTCGAGTTCAATCCCCAGTACCAAAAAAAAAAAAAAAAAAAAAAAAAAAAAAAAAAAAAAAAAAAAAAAAAAACAACAAAAAA